CTGCCTCACCAAGGTCAGACCCCTCCGGGGGTGGCCCACAACCAACAGCTGGCCTGGTGAATGTGAGGGTATCAAGTCCTGCCTCCTCCTCTCAATTCAGGAGGACCTGCCCCGGGTTGGGCCTCTGCTGTGACCTTGGCACTCAGCCCCGTGTCCAGCCCTGCTCCCCTGGTCATCTGCGGGTTCCATCTCGAAAACCCAGTATGGGCCTAGATGAAGGGTGTACATGTAGGGTATGAACCAGTCCACTTCTCTGTGAGTTTGAAACTTTCTCAAAATAAAAACTTAAGGGGAAAAATAAGGTAAAGACAAACGGGATAATACGTATCAGAAAAGGTTAGGATCTTTCATATATGATGCATTCTTACAAATCAGTAAGAAAAGACAAACAGCCCAATTTTTAACACATGCAAAGGAAATAAACAGGAGTGTTAGAAAGAAGCATTCTGAGACCAACAAACCGGTGGAAACATGTTTAACCTCACTAGGAATCAAATACATGTCCTTCTAAAACAAGAAATATCACTTTTCCCTTAACAAATTTGAGAGGATTTAAGGAAATGAACCCAGGGCTGGCGTGGGTTTGGGGACGAGCTCTGTGCCCAGCCTCCTGGGAAAGGTCTGGTGGCCGTTATCAAAGCCACTGAAAGCTTTGTGTCCCTGTGTGTGCGCCCAAGTTCTCCAGACTTCGGCAGTCCTTTTCCTTTAGCATCCAAACAGAAAGGCTGGATTTGCCGTGCCCCAGGCAGTGGGGGGTGTCCTGGAGGAGCGTCACAGAGCAGAACAGGATCCAGGCAGCCCCGGGACGCCACCATCCCAGCAGCGTCCTTCTCCAGCTGGCTGGAGTGCTCACCTCACCTGCCTCTCCCAGAGCTCACAAGTTGCCGACAGACAACTCCTCCCAAATGTCCATTACTTTTTAATACAAAAAGATGAAGCTCTTTGTTTTCCTGCTCTTCTCCCCATCTCCTGAGACCTTCCTTTACTCAACAAAGGACACAGAGACTCACCAAAGTGTTTTTTGACACATGAGCACTTTGCTCCCAAATGGCCTCCTGGTGTATCTGGCTCAAACAGCTAGCTAGCCTTGAAAAGACCACCCAATCATCTCCTGCCATACACCCCACCTTTCCATCATATATCCATACCTTAAGGACTGGACAAGTAAGTTATTGTATATCGGTACATGGCATCCTAAGTAAAGATTTAAAATGATGGTTTGGGAGGTAATTTAACATGCAAAAATGTTTACAGGGTGACAAATGAAAAAGCAAGTTACAAAACAGTACATCCAGTAAGATTTTGTATTGTTTAAAGATATATATACATACATACATATATATATATGTATAGAACAAAATGTCAAGAGAGAAGGAACAACGAAATGTTCATGGTTGTTATGTCTGATATAGAATGAATGGTGAATTTTATGTCATTTTTGCACTATCCATATTTTCTGTATTTATTCTGCAATGAGGATGAATTAGATCTATACAACAGTTCTAGAAGATCCCCTGCTTGCCTCCTCTGTTTCAGAATCATGCTTCTGGTGAAGGATGCCTCACTCACTACCCCACCTTGTCATTTCCATCCTGAGGCCCACCTTGACTCTGGCCTCAGCTTCCTAGAAGAGTATTGTTCGTCACACCCCAGTCCCCGTCCTGAAATACTCTTTCCTTTGTTCATTCTGTGAGTCCACTCACTTCTCCTTTGGAATAAATGTAAACTCTTGGGCGTGGCACACAAGGCCCCCCAAGGGCAGGCCCCACATGGTGTCTGCAGCCTCCTGACCTAGCCACCCCTGGGCACGCCCTCCTCCCCAGCCCCAAGGACACTGTGCTCTCTGGAGGCATGTTGGCTTTGCACTGCTAGCTAGGACACACTTTATGTCTTCTCTCCCTCCTCCTCCTCCTCCTCAAGAACCCCTACCCCCTACTGAACAGTTTCTAGTTCCGGCCTTATGTAAGTGCTTTACAGCTGTACCAACAAGAAGCCATTGCAGAAAACCCCCACTTAGAGTGGTCTAAGCACTCGTGCAAGGAGAAGTCTTGACACATCTCAAGAAAGAGTCTAGGGGCACCTGGGTGGCTCAGTCGTTAAGAGTCTGCCTTCGGGGGCGCCTGGGTGGCTCAGTTGGTTAAGCGACTGCCTTCGGCTCAGGTCATGATCCTGGAGTCCCTGGATCGAGTCCCGCATC